CTGCTGGCTCATGGTCACCCTGTCATCCCCCAGCACTCCCAGTCCCTCTCCGCAGAGCTGCTCTCCAGCAGGTCCGCCCCAGCCTGTCCTGGTGCCTGGGGTTGTTCCTCCCCAGGGGCAGGACCCTGCCCTTGCCCTTGTTGAACCTCATCAGGTTCCTCTCTGCCCAACTCTCCAGCCTGCCCAGGTCTCTCTGGATGGCAGCACAGCCTGCCGGTGTATCCACCACTCCTCCCAGTTTGGTGTCATCAGCTCCCTGCACAAGCACCGTCCCGGCTCCAAAGCCATGGAAAACAAACCGCTGCTAACGGGATCCATGTCCGACCCCTGCCAGGCGTTGCTCAGCAAGCTGTCCCCTTCCCCGTGCCTCAGTTTCCCCTGCGAGCGGGAAGCAGGGGACTGATCCTGGTTTCAGCCGGGATGGGCTGACCAGCTCAGCCCCCGGAGCGATAAACAGCAGTAAAAAGAGGGAGGAGGAGGAGGGTGTGAGCACCACTCGTGCCAGGCAGGAGTCAAATAACCCAACTCTAAGGCCAGGAAGTGTAATTGCATTAATTAATCGCTCATAATTTGGGAGCTACAAGAAAGCTGGAGAGGGGCTTGTGACAAGGGCAGGGAGTGATGGGACAAGGGGTGATGGCTTTGAGCTGAAAGAGGGGAGATTCAGACTGGATAGAAGGAAGAAATTCTTCCCCCTGAGGGTGCTGAGGCCCCGGCCCAGGCTGCCCAAAGAAGCTGTGGCTGCCCCCTCCCTGGCAGGGCTCAAGGCCAGGTTGGACGGGGCTGGGAGCAGCCTGGGCTGGTGGAAGGGGTCCCTGCTCGTGGCAGGGGGTTGGGACTGGGTGGTCTGTAAGGTCCCCTCCAACCCAAACCAGGCTGTGATCCTATGATTGTACAACCATTTTGCTTTTAGACTAACCAGCAGGCAGTTGAGTCCCCAAAAGCTGCCTGCCAAGATGTTGTGCACCAAGAACGAGCAGGGACCAGAATTCTCCTGGGCTCCAGCATCATCCCGGGCTCTGCACCTTCCCGGGTTCTAGAGCCTTCCTCCCCCACCCAAACACGGTCACCTCTTTTCTCCAGCAGCCACGAAAATTATCGCCTGGACAAGGTCCTGTGCAGCCTGCTCTGGGTGACCCTGCTTGGGCAGGAGGGTTGGACTAGATGACCCACAGAGGTCCCTTCCAACCCCTACCATTCTGTGAATTCTGTGATTCTGTGATTATGCACCGGTCCATGCCCCAAGCTGCAGGAACCACCTTCTCTCAGTCCTGGCTGGATGTGGAGGTGGTGGTCCCTCTCCAGACCATCTCAGCAAAGCCAGTCCCACCAGGGGCTGTGCTGGGAGAGGTGAAGAGCAGCTGGGATGAATCCACCCTGGCCGGGACCCAGCCTACTGGGCCGATCTCGAGTCGATTTTCCTTTTTCAATCCGCTGCTCAGAAAAACCACAGCGATGTTTGCAGAGGAGCTGAGGCCAAGGGGTCTGCGTTGCTCTCCAAAGTGAAAGAAGGTCTTTGTTTCCCCACGGCTCCCAGCCATCCTCCTCGTCCAGGCTCCCTCCTCTGCCCCGCAGCAGAGCAGCTCTCCTGGGAGCGGGGCTCAGAGAGCTCCGAGCTCCTTGGGAAATCTCTAGTGAAGCCAAAAACCCAAAAGCCACGTCCGAATCACAGCCTGGCCCTCTGCTCGGGCAGGTCCTGCAAGCCCTGATTTCCGAAGCAAGCGAGGAAGACGGGGCTCGGCTCGACCAGGAGATGCTCCGTAGAGGATTCGGTGATGGGTTTCGCAGCCAGAACATCAGGTCCTCCCCAGGCAGCTGGATCGGAGCAGCAGAGTCAGGGTTTGAAGAGCACAGCAGCTCGGGGACCGCGCCGTCTTGTCCTAAGCGCATGCCGGGATCGGGATCTGAGACTCCAAGGACAAGCCTCTCGCTCCAGCTTCTCACTGGAGAAGCATCCTGGTGGCAGCCAGGGGAACCAAGAGAATCCAGGCGTGGGAGATGGAGGCAGGGCTTCGGTTGGTTTGAAGCCAACTGGGCTGAGGGACGAGATCAGGGCTTGCTCCGTCCCACCACACCTTGTGAAGGGAAAAGGGCTTCCCTGCAGGAAACAGCTTGCAGGGGTGCACGTCCTCAGCCCCCACAGCTCGCCCCAACCCACAGGCGGTCCTCTCCTCCCTTCCTCCTCCTCCTTCTCTGCAGCAGGGCTGTGACCCTGCATGGACGCGATGCCCCGCGACTGGAGGGGATGCTCCACGCCTTCATCAGCGAGGATGAAGGACATTGCCATGTCCCACCACCGGCTGCTCCACGGACCCAGCGGGGAGCCCATGGCACGTGGAAGGATGCTCCATCGGTGCCAGGGCGCGTTCCCATCCAGGGACAGGGTGCCAGGAGAGACCCGGAGGGAGGCTGAGGGGGTCTTCTGCCTGGGTGCTCTTCAGCCCTCGTGATTTAGAGAATCCCAGACTGGTTTGGGTGGGAAGGCACCTTACAGATCATCCAGTCCCAACCCCCTGCCATGAGCAGGGACATCTTCCACCAGCCCAGGGTGCTCAGAGCTCCATCCAACCTGGCCTTGAACCCTGCCAGGGAGGGGGCAGCCACAGCTTCTCTGGGCAGCCCAGGCCAGGGCCTCACCACCCTCAGAGCAAAGAATTTTTTCCTTGTGTCCAATCTAAACCCACCCCCTTCCAGTTTAAAACCACCACAGCCAGAAACCACGCTCGGGAAAAAGCAATTACAAAGGGAAAGAAATAAGGCAGGGAACAGCCCAGGCTGCAGAACAGGCTGGCTGCGTCCCCAGGGTGGGGACAGGGGACTCCCGTGCCTCCAGGCTGGACACTGGTGGGACCCCCAGGCCAGGATGCTGGACACAACCTCTGTTTCCAGCTCCGAAGGGCTGGAAAAGCCCCCGGTCAGCTCTGGGAGCCTTCGCTCCGTGCTCCGAGCCCGGGGGAAGGAGCGGGAGGAGGAGGATGTCGGCAGCAGCGGGGCAGGATCCCACCCCAAGCTGGTGGCGAGGAGGGAGCTGTTTGCAATCAGAGTCCCCACGACCTCCTCCCCGGCCTCTCCGAAATCGCTTCCATGTGTGCCGGGAGCCGTCGAGCTCGTGGGGAGCTCAGCCCCGAACAATGGGAGAGAGGAGGGTGTAGAGGGGGGCAGGCAGGGTCCGGGCCCCCCCAGCACCGTGCCAGCCCGCACACAACGATGGGACCGCAGGGCCACCACCGCCATCCTCCTCCTCTTCCTCCTCCCCGTGCAGTCTCGACCTCGC